GTGCAGGGGCAACTCTACCTTTTGTTTCCTGGGGTTTTTACATTATATATACTTTGAGACTTTTATCTATGTGATCGTCCCAACAACAACGCTGGGAGAGAGGCTTGGGCCCTCACGATGGGAAATCGAAGCACAGAGAGGGTGAAGAGGCATCCCAAAGTCACACAGCAATCAGCCATGGAAACTTCCGAGGTCTGGTGAACATGGTCTGGATTCTGCCTTGTTCTGGCTTCAATTGGCACCTTCTAAACTCACAGGCTGGGGCCTGGAGAAGGCACAGCAGCAACTGTTTGGCCCACAAGCGTTAGCCCTCACACAGAACTAAGGGGGACGAGCCTTTGCTCTGATTCTAAAGGAACCTGAGAAGACTGTTTTTTTCTTAACTTTCACTTAGGCCCAGACCCAGGGACCTCCAAGCACTCATTCATTCATCTTTTCTGGAGTTACGATGAAAGAGATGGGGAATTGATCTAGAGCCAACAGTAGCAAACTACAGGCCGTGGGCCAAATTGGGCCTTGCCCCCTGTGTTTGCAAATAAATTTGTTGGAACACGGCCCCTGTTGCACATGCCCTACGCTGCTTATGGGCCTGCGTTGGCGTTCTGTACATCGGCAGGGCTGAGCACTGCACACAGAGGCCGTGGCCTGCAAAGCTAAAAACATTGATGCCTTTACGTGAAGGAGTTGGCTCGGCTCCGATCCAGGCAACTGAGTGCCCTGATGTTGACAGGCCTGTGGTGAACTGTCCCATGCGGCTATCTCATTTGGGGGTATTCAAGCGCCTCTTCCTGGGCAAAGAAACGGGATGTGGCTCAGTCTGTCTGCCTGGGGCCTGCCTAGAGGATTGCTGGCAGCGGGGAGGAGCACGCGACGCACTTGGTTTTTGGCTTGGATGGGTGCCCGTGGTCCAGCAGGGATCCTCTGAGATTCGCACTGTGCCCGTTCGAGCTGCACAGTGGGAGAGGTGTCATGCATCCTTTAGGACAAAAGAACCAACCAAAGGAAGAAGCCCAAAAGGGCAGCTGTCAGAGGCCGTGTGGGAAGGAGTGCTTGCGTCTCCCGGCCGCAGAGTGCTGGGTTTTCCTCAGCACAGTTTTGGGAAGCCCGCTGGGCGGCGGGAGGCTCCTGGGGGCGGGCTCCTCCGGGCCGGGCTGGCGCGGACCCTTTGGTCCTTGTTTCTATCTTGGGCTCCCCGGTCCAGCGAGAGCCGCACCATGATCACGTTCCCCTGCGGTAGGCGATGCTGGCACGGCGTGATGCCGTTCTGGAGGGATGAAGGAGGGACGGTCAGGGGTGCACGCAGCCGCAGCTGCTCCACCCGCCCCCTCCGCCCCCCCCACCCAACCCCTCGGCCCGCCGCCCGCCATTAGGGCATTTCTGCCTACCGAGATGAGACCTTGGAGAAGCCACTGGCGACCTGCCGGCAAGGTAGCCAGCCCACGCTCCCGTCAGCGTGAGTGCTGAGGGAAATTCATTCCCGCCCTCTCCAAGTGCCACCCCGAGAACCAGCCAACAGGTTCGAATCCTCTCCAGACAGAAGCGTGGGGAACCGAGGTCGGGTTGACAGGGCGAGCGAGCCGCGAGGAGGCCTAGCTGCACGTGCAGAGGCTGGCGCGGCATCTCCGCGCCAGGAGCAACGCCAAGGCAGCGGCCGCTGCCCTTCCACGCCCCGCCCGGCACGGCGAGAGCATCTCCGCGGCCAGGGAGCAAAGCCAGAGGCGGCGGCGCCTTTGCCTTCCACGGCCCCGCCCGCACGGCAGAGCGCCTGGCGGAGAGGTCACCTTGTTGCGTGGAAGTTGAGCGTGAGCCCCCCTGTTGAGGAGCAGCTGGGCCACCGGCTTGAGGTTCTCGTAGTGAGTTGCGATTGTGGCAGGGGCGTGAAATCCCCGTCTGGGGAAAGACAGAGGGAGCGAGAGTTCACGGTGCCGATCACCGGCAGAAGGGGACCGCCCCGAGCTGCGGTGCGGGAGCGCCCCGTCTGCTCCAAGACGAGCCGCAGGAGCGGCGGCTCGGACTACGGGGCATCGCGTGAGGTGGACGCTGGCAAGCCGTTCGGTCACAAATGGGAAAGCGGCACCCAAGCACGCCTAAGTTCCCGGGCCGTTCGTGACCTTCCGGAAGGCTGGCCAGCTCGCTGGAACAAAGGCAGGGCTCCGGGGCCCCTGGCAGGCCCAGGGGTCTCACCCATTCGGAAGCATCAGGCCTCAAGGCCTGTTCCTGCCGGCCCGGGACAACTTTCGTGGGTGGCCTGCAGCAAGCAGAAAGCCCACCACCTGGGCCATCGGCCCAGAAACACGGGGCCCTGGTTCCCCAGCTGCCACCCCGCCTCCGTTTGGAGCGGGTTGTCCGCGCACAGTTCTGGGCGCATCCCCGGGCAAACTCGGGCAAGGTGGTGCCCTGCGGCCCGGCAAAGGCCCCAGGTCCGGGCCACGCTCCCTTGAAAGGCACGTCGGGGTGGGTCGTTCTGCAGGAGCCACCGGCCGCGGGTGCGCGTTTCGTCGTTGCGGGGCCGCAGATGTTGCAGGGGCCGGAGGCGCACCCTTGCTATCGTGCCCGTAGGTTGATGAGTGGCCACCAGCGTTCTCTGTGGCCTGCTGCCAATCGGCCACGGCGAGGGGCGTGAAGCCGTCCTTGGGGGAGGGGAGGGGGCTCTGTGCACCCGCCCAGGCCGGCCACGTGACTGTCTTCCAGCGGGCCCCAATCAGGACCCTTCCTCTGACTTCCAGCTCTCCCAGCGCCTGCGTTCACCCTGCGGCCAGCGTGAGGGCGCCTCTCCCTGGAAGCCTGCCGGCCCCGCTCCCGCGCCCACTTCAGAGGCACCCGGGCCGCGTTCCTCGGCAACTCGCCTGGGATTTTCCTTCATTTCGCGTCCCGTTTGTCCGCGGGCTGAGCGGCTCCCACTGCTGTACTCTGCTACCGCCCACCCCACCTGCTGGCGCCCTGGGACGGCGCCTTGAATACGTGGGCAGAGTGTCATGCGCACTTCCCGGACGCCAACGCCACGCCAGACGTCAAATCCACGCCAGCCATGAGGATTCGACCTCCCACCCCATCTGCTGGCGCCTGGACGGCGCCTTGAACGTGGCAGAATGCCACTGCGCACCTCCCGGACACCAAATCCACGCCGGCCACAAGGATTCAACCGAGAACTACTATTGCCAACCCCCTCGGTTGTGCACCCAGGGGCCTGGTACCTGGTGACCCGGGCAAGCGGCGTGAAAACCAAATCACGTCACTGCTGACATGAGTCATGCTCAGAGTCAGGAGAAGCCTCAGCTCTGTCATTTCTCCACTGGCCAGACTCAGGATCCCAGCCAGGGGGACCCGTCCCAGGTGGACGGTGGGCTCCCGGCAAGGGCCTCGCCCATCAAGGCCAAGGCCGGTTCCCGCGCCAGCCGTGCAGCAGCCCGCCCGCCCCGCCCAGCCACAAGCTGGGGCATGGTGGGGACGCCACCCTCGGGGCTGCGGCCTTGTCTCAGGCCTGCGTCTGGGTGTTCCTCGACTCGGACCTGGTCTTTTACTCCCGCCCAGGACCCAGCAGCTCCTGGAGTCACAGTGGCGGCAGAGGGCTGGAGCACTCAGCCACACTTCCAGGGATCCCGGCACGGCATGACGGCACGCCCCTCCTGCCATCCCGGGAAGGCGTGGCCTGGCAAAACGTCCCACCGCGCAGACTTCCGGCAGTGAGGATGTTTTCCTAAGCTACTTCTTTTTTTTCTTATGAGACAGAGTCTCGCTTCGTTGCCCAGGCTAGAGTGAGTGCCGTGGCGTCAGCCTAGCTCACAGCAACCTCAGACTCCCGGGCTCAAGCGATCCTCCTGCCTCAGCCTCCCGAGTAGCTGGGACTACAGGCATGTGCCACCATGCCCGGCTAATTTTTTCTATATATATATATATTAGTTGGCCAATTAATTTCTTTCTATTTATAGTAGAGATGGGGTCTCGCTCTTGCTCAGGCTGGTTTCGAACTCCTGACCTCAAGCAATCTTCCCGCCTTGGCCTCCCAGAGTGCCAGGATGACAGGCGTGAGCCACCGCGCCCGGCCTCAGGTCTTTGTTGCTTGCGCTTCCTCTGGTCATTCAAGTATTAAAGCCTGTATCAGGCGGGCACTGCCTGTCTGCTGCCTCCTGAAGTCATCTTTGGATTCCTCTTGAAGTCCCACTTGATGAACAAAAGGGTTCTCCCTCAAATGCCCACCAGAGAAAAATGCCAGATATGAGAGCGTGGAAGCTAACTGACAACCGTCTACAGAAGTCCAAAGAGCCGACACTTAGAGGCTCTGGCTCTTGCCGTACCAAGTGGAGCAGGGCCGTTGGCGCCGGAAACTTCTCTAGAATCCAGCACTGAGAGCTCCAAGGGGAGTGAGTGCTCCTGCCTCCCACGGAGGAGGCCGAGACACACGAGTCCCTTGTGGTCGGGAGGCTTACGTTAAATATTTCTTCCCACCTGACCCTTCCTGCTGAAATCGAACGGTATCAGAGCTTTCCTTACACCCACAAGAAGGACGGCCCCGTGATGTGGGAAGCTGGGCAGATGTAGAACTCTGTTCGTGCCATCTGGGCCGAGGGCGGCACTGTGGAGGAGTGGGATCACAGGGGAGACCCTGGGAAGCGGCCCCCCTTTCCCCGCCACCTGCACACACGCACTGCGGGGCTCAACAGGGCTGCCCCCGGTCCTGGGCTGGGAGTGCCAGGGAAACAGGCTGTGAGCCTCTGTTTTCTCTGCCCCTCCCCCAGCATAAAGGAGGGAAAATTACTTGGCTACGTGTTGATCCACAAATACCTAATTTCTCCATGTCCAGAGACTCACGAAGCTCACGGAAGGGGGGAGGGTTGCACAGGTGCTGAGCGGTGCGAGCAGAGGGAGGGCGAGGCCCCAGGCTTTCTGCAAGGGGGGTGGGGGGGGGAAGCCTTCTCTGCTCATTAGCAGCTCAGGCACTGAGCCGGGAGGATGGAGGAGATCATTTTACACGTTTATTTTATGCTCTTAAAATTTCTAAGTACAGTTTAGGAACCTATATTGGTTTTTGGCTCACTACTCTTTTTTTATTTTGGTCTTTCTCCTGCTTGGGAGGCCCGTCACAATTCCCCAATCTGTTATGACTTTTCCTCAGCCCACGGTTTCAGTTCCACCTTTTTTTCCCTCTCTCTCTCTCCCTCTCTCTCTGCGCGGCATTCCAAAACCACGTTGGCTTATGAAATTTCTAAAAATAAAAAAGACACACCAAGTGTTCACTTGTAAAATAACAATCAAAGAAGGGAATTCGGAAAGAGTGAAAGTGCTGAAACCTCATGTTTCTGCAGCTCTTGGGGGCACGCCAGCGGGGGCGGGCAGCCGCCCTGGCCCACGCAGAGCCGGTCAGATGGCACAGTGCTGGCAGCCAGGTACGCCGGAGCATCCAAGGAAAAATAATTGCATGCCTTCATCCACAGAAGAAGCAGGGTGGAAACAATCGGTATTTGCCATGAGTTAGGGGGGAAAATGCCCCATATATACACAGTCAGAAAGAGCAACTCAGTGTACTGCCCCCACCCCTTTCCCGTGAGACATGCCTTGGTTGTCACTTCCAAACCTAGAATCTAGATCTCTTCACATTCGGGAAATGACATGAAAATTACAGAATTTTACCTCCAGAGATGATTCTGCCTTCACAATATTTTGGTAGTTCGCTTCACAACCATAAATTGTATCTGCTCTCTACATACTCTTCTTCTGCGCTCCTGGCTCGAGACGCAGCAGCATGTCTGCTGCGTGCAACTGAACCCGAGGCTGAGCGTTGAGACCGCATGTTTAACAAATAACAAAATGCAAAATAAGAGGCTGGGAGAAAAAAAACTCTGGAAGGAAAACCCGGGAAAGTAACAGGAGAGAGGAGACAAAACAAGAACGGAGGAAACAGCACTCGAGTCAGTTAAACGGAGATGATTTTTGTTTGGTTTGGTTTTTGAATGCCGGCTTCGTCCCGTTTGGTAAATAAGATGCATATAAGTAAGAAATAAAACTTACTCTGCAATCTATAGATACATCATTTTCATGATGCTGGGATTTCTGAACGGTAAGTCACAGGTGTACCGTCTACTGGAACGGGGAGGAACGTACTGCCCTGGAACCTCACACCCACCCAGGCCAAAGTCCTCCTCCCCAGACAGGAGCAGCCCCAGGTCATTAGTAAGGACCGGAAATACGTTTGGGGCTGAGCAAGAAAGACTTGCTGGAGTGGGAGAAATTAGAGGGAAGTGGACTCTGTCTTAAAACCCTCAACAACACAGTCACGAGTATGTATTCATTCCTTCCTGTATGCTGGGCACTTTGTGTCCACGATCTCGCTTAGTTTCCACTCCACTCCTGCAGCTAAGTGCTATAACCCCCATTTCGCAGATGAGGACGCTGAGGCTCCGCAGCGGCTGGCTAACCTGTCTGCGGGCACAGGGTCCCAGGTGTGGCTGCTGGATCTGCAAGTCCAGGCACCCGGCTGTGGAGCTTCCAGGGCTCAGCCCGGCCGGGACCTGCGGACCCGAGAAAGCACGAGGCCTCCAGGAAAAGGGTGCATTCTCGGAGCTACGACCTCGGGACGAAGGTAAGGTGGAGGCCCACTGACCCTGGAAACGGTCCCGTGTTTCCAGGGGCTCTGCGAACTGGGAAGCGCCTGGAAGGGCTGAGAAGTCCAGACGCCCGCGCGGGGTCCCTCCCGAAGAAAGGCCGGTCCCGCAACACGGGGACCCGCAACACGGGGACCCGCAACACGGGGACCCGCAACACGGGGACCCGCAACACGGGGTCCCGCAACACGGGGACCCGCAACACGGGGACCCGCAACACGGGGACCCGCACACCGGGGGTTCAATGAAAACCCCCCACGTGAGACATACCTTGGTTGTCGTTTCTAGAATGATCTCTTTGTGCAGAAGTTCGACCACCATTTTCACGTGGCCTTCTTTAGAGGCCAGATGCAAGCCGTTCAGGCCATTCTGTTCATCTCCATACACACAAAAGTAGAGAAAACAGAACAACAACAACAACAAAAAGAACCACTGTCAAGAGAAAAAGCAATCAACAGAACCAGACTCAGAGATGACCAAGATACGAGAACTATTAGATGGACTCAGACTAACTACAATTAATGTGTTAAAGCAGGGGTCCTCAAACTACGGCCCTCGGGCCACATGCGGGCCGCCTAGCACATTTATCCGGCCCTCCGGTGTTTTTTGCCACACTGCCTGTCCTGCTTAGCACCGACTCGTCCCAGGCCAGAGTATGCACTCTCCAACGAGGGACAGTGAACTGGCCCCCTGTTTAGAAAGTTTGAGGACCCCTGTGGGGAAAGTGGATGACTTTCATGAGAAGATGCAGAATTTCAGCAGGGAGATGGAAACTGTAAGAAAGAGTCAAATGAAATGCTAGAATTAAAAACCGCTTTCTTAGCAATGAAGAATTTCTTCAGTAGCCTTGTCGGTAGACTGGACACAGCTGAGGAGAGAATCAAAGAACTTGAAGATAAGTCAAGAGAAACTAACCAAATTGAAACGAAAGAGACAAAAAGAGTAGGGAAAGAAAAACAAAACGGAGCAGCCAAGAGCTGGGGCCGGGGCAACATCAGCTGGTCTAACACACATGCAGTTGGAGTCCCAGAAGGACATGCCTATGGGAAGAGAGGAATCTAGCAAGCAGGTATTTCCCCCAAGGGAAAGCTATGTGGTTAAAAAACAGCCATAAGTAGTTATTGCCTTGCTCCCCAGCTTCTAATTTAGCTGAAGCATTTACTTTTATATTCTCCCACTTCCTTCTTGCTTATCTCCTACCCCTGTTATTTGAGGGAAGAAATATGTGATTTGTCCCCACCCCATCTCTTCCGCAGCTGTCTGCCGTTTGGCGTCAAGAGCAGTGGCTGTGAATGACGGTGAGATAGGGTGGCTTTTAGCAACCAACTTAAATTTGAGTTATCTAAAATAAAACACATGATTCCCTGTTTTTGAAGAGGTGGTAAACTACAGTTCATCTCTGTCCGTAGTTACAGCTAAGAACGAATAACGCACACGGTTTTCACTCCTTTTCCCCCTTCTCATTTGAGCAATAAAAAAAAAAAATCTGTTTAAAGAAAAAGTAAGTATTAAATATGGTACTCTACCTCAGAACTCTCTAGTTTGGTTATGATGGAATAGTCCTCCTGCACACGGAGTCACGCTCTGAGTAAGTCGACTGTAGGGCTCCTTGGTGCGTGTGTACAGGTTTCAGGCCATTAAGCAAGTCCCAGTGCCAGACGCGCGGCGACTCGTGGCTGCTGACTGGCCATCGCAACTGAGTGAGACCAGTTGCTGGGAGAAGATCGCTGCTTGGGGGTCCTGGATGCTTGTGCTTCCTGTGTTCCAGATGTTTCATGCAGGGAGAAGAGAGCCATTGGTGAGAAGGCTGGGAGCGTATTTTAGCTTATGGGTCTTAGAAGCTAACATCCAGACCCGGGCTTCTAAATCTTCTCGCTGTTAATGAGCCTTGCAGCCCTGGCTTTGGTGCACGCTGCTCTGTGACGCTTTCTGGACCTTCTTGGCAGAGCCACTCCCTTCTCCTCTGTGCTGCTTCTGGTTCTTTTTCTCCTTCCTCCTTAGCCTTCCTGTCCTGCTCTTCCTTGCCTTCCTTCTCCTGGTGTTCGCCTCTGCCTTCTCTTGCCTCTTCTCCTTCTGCCTGCCTCCGCCCTTCCTTCCTGCATCTTCCTGTCCTCCCTGCCTTCCTTCCTTTCCTGCCTTCCTTCCTTCCTGTCCTCTGCTCCTCCTTGCTTCCTTCTTCTGCCTTCTCTTCCTGCCTTCCTTCCTGCCTTCTTCCTTCCTGCCTTCTTCCTTCCTGCCTTCCCCTGTCCTTCCTGCCTTCCTTCCTTCTTCCCTTCCTTCTGCTTCCTCCTTCCTTCCTGCCTTCCTTCCTTCCTGCCTTCCTTCCTTCCTTCCTTCCTTCTCTCTTCTGCCCTTCCTCCTTCCTTTTCCTCTTTCTTCCTTCCTTTTCTGCCTTCTTCCTTCCTTCCTTTCCTGCTTTTCCACTTTTTTCCCCTTCTTGCCTTCCCCTTTTTCCTTTTTTCCCCCTTTTTTTTCCTGCCCTTTTGGCCCTTTTTTCCTTTCCTGCCTTGCCTTGCCTTTTCCTGCCTGCCCCCTGGCCCTTGCCCACCTTTCCCCCTTTTTTTCTTTTTTTCCCTTCCCCCCCTTTTTTCCCTTTTCCCTTTTCCCTTCCCTTTCCCCCCTTTTTTCCTTTCACTTGGGCCTTTTTCCTTTTTCCCCCTTTTCCTTCCTTGCACCCTTTTTTTTCCCCCTTCTTTCCCCTTCCTGCCTTTCCTTTTCCCCTTTGGGCCTTCCCACCTTTTCCCCTGCCCTTTTTGGCCTTTCCCTTTTTTTTCCTTCCCTGCCTTTCCTTCCTTCTGCCCTTTTCCTTTCCTTTCCCTTTTCCTTCCCCTTTCCTTTTTGCCCTTTCACCTTTTTCCTTTTCCCTTTCTTTTTTCCTTTTCCTTTTTTCCTTTTTTTGTTCCTCTTTTTCCTTTCCTTTTCCCTTTCTTTTTTCCTTTCCTTTTTTTTTCCCTTTTTTCCTTTTCTTTCCTTCTTTTTCTTTTTCCTTCCCTTTCCTTTTCCTTTTTCCCTTTTTTCCGCCCCTTTTGGGGCTTTTTTAGAGTTTGCCCGTTGATTTTAATCTTTTGAACCTTTGGCTCAAAACAAGCCAACCTTTTTCAAAAAACTCCCCCTTGGGCTTTTTTTTTTTTTCCCCAAGCAATCCTGCCCCTTTTTCCCCGCCGGTAAAGCCCTTTTTGAACCCCCTTTAAACAGGCAATGTGCCCACCAATTTGCCCGGCCTAAAAATTTTTTTTTTTTTTTTTTTTTTCTTAAATATATTTTTTTTTTTTTTTTTTTTTTAGTTTTGTTCCAAAGCAAATGTTTTTCTTTTTTTTTCTTTTTTATTTTTTTAAAAGTTAGAAGATGGGGGTTTTCCCTTTCCTTTCTTGCTTTTCAAAGGCCCCCCTTTGGGCTTTTTGTTTTTTCAAGACCCTCCCCTTGGGAACCTTTTGAGTGAATTCCTTTCCACCCGCCTTCGGCCTCCAGAAAGGTGCTGGGGAATTGGAACAAGGCCCCCGGTGAAAAAAAGCCCCCACCCGTGCCCCCGGGCCCCTTTGGCTTTTCCTTAGTCCTTTTTTTTTAATAACATGCCCCCATTTTTTGGGGCATTTTTTTTTTTTTTCCAACCCATGGGAATTTTTTTTTGCCCCCAAATATATTTTTTTTTTTTTTTTTTTAATGCCCCAATCGGTTTTTTTTTTTTTTTTCCCTGCTATATAACGATAAATTCTTAAAGGGAAAAAAAAGGATTTTTTGGTGTTCCCTGTTTTTCAAAAAATTTCCTTAAGCCACAAAGAAAAAAATTTAGATTTCTTTTCCTTTCAATTTTACCAATGCTTTTTTAAATTTTTGAATTGGAAGTAAAAGTTAACTGCAAACAGCCGTTAAGGTGGGTAGCCCCCCGTGTCCCAAATAGGAACAGGCAAAAGCAATTATTTTTTTTTGAAGAAACAAAAGTTTTTGTTTTTTTTTAATTTTTTGTTGATTTAAGTCCTTTTTTTTTTTCTTTTAAAAAAAAATGTGCCCCAAAATCTTTCCAATTACGCATTTTTTAAAAAAATCCGTGCAAAAGCCTTCCCTTAAACCAATTTACCTCTGCCTGAAGCCTTGCCCCCGTTGGGGGGCTTTTTTTTTTTTTTTTTTTTTTTTTTTTTAAAAAATTTTTTTTGGCCGGCTGTGCCCCTGTTGGGAAGCCAAAGTTGGGTTTCAAAAAGATCAATGGAACAAAAGTTAAAATTAAAGACTTTTGGGAAAAAAAAAGTTTTTTTTTTTTAAAACCCTTTTTAGGGTGACTTTATAATTTGAAAGCCAAATTTTTTTAAAAAAATTTAAAAAAAGTTTGGGAAAAAAAAAAAACCCCTTTTTTTTTAAAAAAATCAATGAAGAAAGAAAAAAGAGATTCATTGAAAAAAAAAAAAACCCAGGAATTCCTGGGGTTTTGGCAAGTTTGGTGGAAAGTTGAAACCAATGGGAGCCCTTAAAAGCCGCCCGCCGAATCCCCCTTAAATTCCCGACAAAAGCCCTTTTTCCTTGCTTTTTTTTTGAAAGATCCTAAATTCCCTGCACCATGGCCCGGAAAAGTTTTTGGCAAGCTTTTTGGAGAGAAGTTTTCTTGGGGGCCAAAGAGGAAAAAAGGGAAAGAAAAAAAAGGGCCCTTTTTTTTTTTTTTCCTTTTTGTTGTGGACCAAGGGGCCAAAAAAAAAAAGTTTTTTGGAAAAGTTAAAAAACCCCTGGAAAGATTCAAAATTGGCAAGAAAAGGTTTTTTCCCGCCGAACCAGGACCAGGTTGGGGAATTTTGAATTTTTATTCCCTGAAAGTGGAGCAAATTAAAAAGCCCTTCTGTTAAAGCCTTTCTGGTAAAATCAAAGAAAAGGGAAAACCCAATGGTTTTTTTTTTCCCTTCAAAATTTTATTCTTTTTTTTTTTTTGAAATAAAAAAGAAAAAACACCCCTTAAGGTTTTTTTCCTTTTTTTTCCTGGGAAAAAAAAAAAAAATTGCAAACATTGGGGGCTTTCTGGGTCCCCTTTTTTGAAGCCCCTAAGTAAAAAAAAAGGGGCCCTTTTTTTGTTGTGACCTCCCAAGCTTTAAGCAACTCGACTTTTACTCTGGGACCTTTTTTTTGGTTTTTCCCTTTCAAAGCCTGGAAGAATGACAAAAAGGGCCAAAAGAAAAAAAACTTCCAAGGGCCTCTCCCTTTTTGCAAGCCCTTCTGAAAGGTCTTTGGGCCCCATTTCCTTTTCCGGGGCCCCAGTTTGGGGAATCTTAGAACCCCTTTTCCCCCTTGGGACCTTGAAAAAAGAAATTTTTTTCCTGTCGTCGGCTCCAAAGGGAAGCCAGAGGACCCCCAGCTTTGTAAAAACCCCCGAGGCCATTAGCCCAGTGGAAAACGTTTTTTTTTTTTTTTTTTTTTTAATTTTGTTTTTTTTTTTTCCTTTTTGCAAGGCCTGCCCCCAACATCCCAAAAGATACCAGCCGAATGGGCTTCATTAGGAAAAGTGAACATTTGGGGCCCTTGCCCAAAGCCAAAGGCCCACCTGTTAAAAAGCCCCAAAACCAGTCCAAGCAAAGCAAACAACCCAAGCCCCCCCAACGCCCTGGCTTTACCCCCGCCCAAACTTTTGCCCCTTTTTTTTTTTTTTTTGGGGAAGCCCCCAAACTTCCTTGCAGTGTTTTTTTTGCGCAAAGCCCCCAAAAACAAAGCAAAAAAAAAAAAAGCTTTTGCTAAAGCCCCCCTGTTCCCTGCAAACGCCCAACCAAACGCCAAAACCCAGTTTTTTTTCCTTCTTTTCAAAGCAACCGGGGGGAAACCTTTTTTCTTAAGATTTTTTGAAAAAAGGTTTTTGGTTTTTTGGGGCCGGGTTTTCCCTTTGAAAAATTTTGGGGGGGCTTTTTTTGCAAAAAAAAAAAAAAGAGGTTGCTTGTTGGGTGTTTGCCCTTTTTGAACAAAGGAACAAGCCCCCCCGTGGGCTTTTTTTTTCCCCAGGGGGAAAAGCAAGAAGGAAACCCCCCTCCCCCCTTTCCTTTTGTTGGGCCAAAAAAACAGACAAAACCCCCCAAAAGAAAAGGGGGGCAAAAGCCCTTTTTTTTCAGATTTGCGAAAGCCCTTTTATGGCCCAAAAAGGGGAAGTTTTGGTTACGGCCCCCCCGCAAAAAACCAGGCAAACTTTGGACAAAAGACAGCTTTTTTTTTTTTTTTTTCACGTGAAAAACTTTGGTGGTGTTTTTTTTTGCCAAAAATCCGAGTTCAACAGGAAAAAATTTTTGGTTTTTTTTTCCTTTTTTCTTGTCTTTGCCTTTATGCTCTTCCCCCCCCCCAAACGCCCAAAAGAAATTCCCCTTGGTTTTTCCCCCATCAAGACTTTCCCTTTTGTTTCCCTTTCTGTTTTTTACCGAAAAAACTTTGGCTTTTTTTTTTTTTTTCCCTTGACCTTAAGCCGCCTTTTTTTTTTTGATTCTGAAAAAAAATGAAAAACATTTCGCACAACCTTTGGGGAATTTCTTTTTAACAAAAAGTGAAAATTTTGGTGGGTTGGCAAAACCTGGCAAAAAAAAGAAGGAAAAGGAAAAAAATGTATAAAGGCCCCAGGTTTTTTTTTTTTAAGGCCAAAATCTTTTTTTTTTTTTGCCAAAAAAAAGGAGGAAAAAAATATTTTTGTTGGACCCCAAA